CGGGAACTCGGGGCCGAGATGCATCTCCCACCCCTTTTTTAATATTATACCGGCCAAGTGGGGTCAGCGTCTGAAAATGTTATTCCGCCGGAGGCTTCCGCCAAAAGCCTTCAAGGGCGATCTGAAAATTTGACGCGGCATCTGAAAGTGACGATTTTGCGTCGAACTTCCGCAGGAAAAGAAATCTTCATACCGCTTGAGAGCGGCGACATCGCCTGAGAATTCCTCGCAGGGTATTTTCCGACCGCTGTTCACACCGCCAAAGAATGGCGATTTCGTTCGGGCTGTCCTAACAACCGCGCGTCTTGTCCACCCCTGCGTCGCCGTTCCTCCGTTCGGGTCACGACTCTGTCTGGGAGTTACTTGGGATCGATCGAAGGTCGAAGCTTGAGTTTTTTCTCGATTGGCGAAGACCCAGGGGCTGTTCCCTCCCATTGTGTCGATCAGCACTTTGTAACCCAAGGGGGAGTTCCAAAAAACGCTCGGTGTGGGCAGTCTCAAGCGTTCAGATGCGTGCCCGAGTGTGGAGCCTGTGCAAAACATGCAAAAGTTCAGCGCGCTGGCGGCGGTCATTACAAAAAAACGCTCGGCGCGGGCAGGTTCCAGCGTTCCGATGCGTGCGTTAGTGTGGAGCGTGGACAAAACATGCAAAACAGACGTGATTTAGCCCGCTGGCGGCGGTCAACCCGCTGGATTAAAAAGTGGAGACCGTGGGGATCGAGGAAGACACGGCTGGCCTCCCGTTAGGCCACGAGGCCCACGGACAATGTTGGACTCGGGGCCGAATCGGGAATTCCAGATGCATCTCTCGCCCCTTTTCATCTTATAACGGCCAAATGGGGTCAGCGTCTGAAAATGTGATTCCGCCGGAGGCTTCCGCCGAAAGCCTTCAAGGGCGATCTGAAGATTTGCCGCGGCATCTGAAAATGACGATTTTGCGTCGAACTTCCGCAGGAACAAAACAACCTATCCATCTTCATACCGCTTGAGAGCGGCGACATCGCCTGAGAATTTCTCGCAAGGTATTTTCCGACCGCTATTCACACCGCCAAAGAGTGGCGATTTCGTTCGGGCTGTCCTAACAACCGCGCGTCTTGTCCACCCCTGCGTCGCCGTTCCTCCGGTCGGGTCACGACTCTGTCTGGGAGTTACTTGGGATCGATCGAAGGACGAAGCTTGAGTTCTTTGATTGGTTGGCGAAGACTCAGGGGCTGTTCCCTGCCATAGTGCCGATCACCACTTTGTAACCCAGGGGGGACTAAGAGAAAACGCTCGGCGTGGGCAGTCTCCAGCGTTCCGATGCGCGCGCGAGTGTGGAGCGTGGACAAAACATGTAAAAGAGACGTGATTCAGCGCGCTGGCGGCGGTCATTACAAAAAAAACGCTCGGTGTGGGCAGGTTCCAGCGTTCCGATGCGTGCGTTAGTGTGGAGCGTGGACAAAACATGCGAAACAGACGTGATTTAGCCCGCTGGCGGCGGTCAACCCGCTGGATTAAAAAGTGGAGACCGTGGGGATCGAGGAAGACACGGCTGGCCTCCCGTCAGGCCACGAGGCCCACGGACAATGTTGGACTCGGGGCCGAATCGGGAATTCCAGATGCATCTCTCGCCCCTTTTCATCTTATAACGGCCAAATGGGGTCAGCGTCTGAAAATGTGATTCCGCCGGAAGCTTCCGCCAAAAGCCTTCAAGGGCGATCTGAAGATTTGCCGCGGCATCTGAAAATGACGATGTTGCGTCGAACTTCCGCAGGAAAAAAACAGATCCATCTTCATACCGCTTGAGAGCGGCGATATCGCCTGAGAATTTCTCGCAAGGTATTTTCCGACCGCTATTCACACCGCCAAAGAGTGGCGATTTCGTTCGGGCTGTCCTAACAACCGCGCGTCTCGTCCACCCCTGCGTCGCCGTTCCTCCGGTCGGGTCACGACTCTGCCTGGGAGTTACTTGGGACCGACAGAAGGTCTAAGCTTGAGTTGTTTTGGTTGGCGAAGACCCAGGGGCTGTTCCCTGCCATAGTGCCGATCACCACTTTTTAACCCAGGGGGGAGTTATAAAAAAACGCTCGGTGTGGGCAGCCCCCAGCGTTTCGATGCATGCGCGAGTGTGGAGCGTGGACAAAACATGTAAAAGAGACGTGATTCAGCGCGCTGGCGGCGGTCATTACAAAAAAAACGCTCGGTGTGGGCAGGTTCCAGCGTTCCGATGCGTGCGTTAGTGTGGAGCGCGGACGAAACATGCAAAACAGACGTGATTCAGCCCGCTGGCGGCGGTCAACCCGCTGGATTAAAAAATGGAGACCGTGGGGATCGGAGAAGACACGGCTGGCCTCCCGTTGGGCCACGGGGCCCAGGGACAATGTTGGACTCGGGGCCGAATCGGGAATTCCAGATGCATCTCTCACCCCGTTTTAATCTTATAACGGCCAAATGGGGTCAGTGTCTGAAATGTGATCCCGCCTGAGACTTCCGCCAGAAAAATTCAGATCGCCTTCAAGGGCGATCTGAAAAATTTGCCGCGGCATCTGAAAGTGGCGATTTGCGTGGGACGTCCGCAGAAGAAGAAGAAAAAAAAAAACATCTTCATACCGCTTGAGAGCGGCGATATCGCCTGAGAATTCCTCGCAGGGTATGTTCCGACCGCTGCTCACACCGCCAAAGAGTGGCTTTCGTTTGGGCTGCCCTAACAACCGCGCGTCTCGTCCACCCCTACGTCGCCGTTCTTCCGTTCGGGTCACGACTCTGTGTGAGTTACTTGGGATCGATCGAAGGTCGAAGCTTGAGTTTTTTGATTGGCGAAGACCCAGGGGCTGTTCCCTGCCATAGTGCCGATCACCACTTTTTAATCCAAGGGGGGCAGTGGTTGTAACATAGTTTGCTTTGCACTAGAAATACAATCGCATGATATCCATACTAACGAACCCTTTGTGCAACAATATTCCCCTTGCAAAATTGGAGCGAGAACAACCGTGAGACACCACAATACAACCATTATCACTGGACAGCTAAATACCTCAACATGTATAACTGTCTCTCTGGCTACAGCGAGGAAGAAGGATAGAGAGAGAGAGAGAGAGAAAAAAAAAAACGAGAGAGAGAGAGAACAAAAACAAATAATGTTAAAAAACTGGTGATGGAGCGAGAGGGAGAGAGAGAGAGAGAAAGGCAGAGAGAGAGAGAGAGAAAACAAAAGAAAGAGAGAGAGAGAGAGAATGAGCAGAAACCGAGAGAGAGAGAGAGAGAGAAAAACTGAATATACACAGAGAGACAGAGAGAGACTGAGAGAGAGGGAGGGAGGAGGATGAGCAAGAAGAGAAACTCCCCCAAATCCTTGCAACGGGGATCCCTGTCGAAGGAATAATTGCGAAGGGGTCCTTATTAACGAATCTTGCTTTGCAAACCATGTCTTACAAGAACTCAGTATCAAAGAATCCTGAAGAGATCCTCACTAAAATTGGCACCTACAACTGGAAAGGAATATCGGAACCCCCCTGTTTAACGGATCCTCCCTGAAGAGTCCTGACCGAGGAGATATTTACTGAACGAGAGGCGCACATTGAGTCCGTACTAAACGAAGCATTGAAACACGAATCGTTGCTACAGAGATCCTTCCTAAGAATACTTACCAAGGATGTCCTTACCGATAAACCCTGAGTCAGGAACCCCAAATAACGGACTCCTTGCTGACGGAATGTTTGCTCGAAGGGATCCTGGGAATCCTGAATGCAACTCCAGTCGAAAGAATCCGTATGAAAGGGAGTCTTCACATGGAACCAGCTGAGGAGCCCCTACCAATGAACGGTGCTGAAGGAATATGTAGGGACAAACCATCACTGAAGAAAAATTAAGGAATCCTAACTACAGGAAGCCTTACCAAAAGGATTCCTGGCTAAAGGCCTCCTTACGCAAGGAATAAGTTTTCGAATGAAGCCTTCTTGGATGGATCCTTTCTACGAAAGCAACCCATACCAAGGAGCCCGTATTAGAAACTATTGTTCACTAGGGTCCTTGCTCAAGATCCCCCATATAAACACTGCTTATGTGTATGTCCAGATGCTTTCAGTGGCCTCCAGACAACGACAGTCGTCGTCGTCGTCGTCGTCCTCGTGATCGTTCTCGTCCTCGCCCTCATCGTCGTCCTCGTGGTCGTCGTCAACGTCGTGGTCGTCGTCGGCGTCGTCGTCGTCGTCATCAACGTCGTCATCAACGCCGTCGTCGGCGTCGTCGTCCTCGTCGTCGTCGTCGTAAACGTCGTCGTCGTCGTCGCCGCCGCCGTCGCCGTCCTCGTCGTCGTTGTCGTCGTCGTTGTCGTCCGGAGTCACTCCCAGCCCAAACGTTACCAGGCGCGGTCCGTCCCCCCCCCCTCCCGCCGCGGTCCTGGAAACGCCCGCTGCCGCCGGAGGATTGAGAAAGAACCTGTTCGTCGTTCACGAACATCGGCGGCGAGCGAAGGGGGGAAATGAGAAGGAGAAGGCCTTCTCAGAAGGCGGCGGCGCTTTTTGTTGGGGGGGTGGGGTGCAGACAGAGCTAGCATACACCTTGTGGTCGGCAAAAGCGGGAGCGGACAAATCTTGCTCTCCACTAGAAGTGCATTCTTTGCCCTACCTCCGTTTCCTTCGCCGCGGCGAGGGCTTCTTTCTCCTGAGGAGTTGTTTGTGTCTTCGGGGCGGGCTCAGAAAACTTCTCAGAAGGCCGGGGGGCTTCTGGGCCCTCTGAGGAAGCCCGCCCCTTCCCACTTCCCCCCGAGGCTCGCCGTTAAGAACCACCTGGTTCCCCAGAGGTCTACACGACCGGTTTCTCATCCTGACTCGTCTGTTGACCTCCCTGGGGGGGCCCCCAGGGGGCCAAAAATCGCAAGAAAACCTCCCGTCGTGATCTCTTCGCGACGCGAGAAGATCGACGACGACGACGACGAGGAGGAGGACGACGACGACGACGAAATTGACGACGGCCAGCCCTGACGGGTGGCCGGCCGGCCAAGCGGGCGGCTGGCCGCGGGCCTTCCACGTAGTCCCAGAAGAGCCCCTCGGCCCGCGACCTTGGCCAGGGGCCCGAGAGGCCGGAGGGCCCGTCGGGCGCCGGCGAGTCGCCAGGGGGGAAGCTGGGACGCACAGAGACGTACTAGCATTAGGTCAGGCATGTCCTCCTATACAAACGGATTTGGGAGAGACACATAAAACTGAACAAAAACAGAAAACAACACAAAAAACAAACATATAAAAACATGTTTGAAACACAATAACAAACAAAAAACTCAAGCATAGTCAAATTAGTCAAAAGATCGTCCCTTTTCTTGTTTTTGACTATTTTGAACATTCCTCCTGTAGAGGGACATGCCCGACTGAACACTAGTACAACATGTCTTCCTTGGAGACGCGCGTCCGACCCGAACATGTAGTATTCCCATGTTGTAGTATATCGTTGCCCGAGCGATGTGGCCAGAAAGCGCCCGCCACGACACATGCACTATAAGATTTCTCGGTGCGCGCGTCGCCCCTGGTGGGGGGGGGGGGGGGCGCCGATGAGGGACGCGGATTCTGACGTTTTTCACCGTTTTAGGGCTCTCGGGGCCCACCACTGGCCCAAAAAACGTCCTGGGGGAAGGACCCAGGGGTTCCAGGACCCGCTTCCCCCATGCTAACAGAGAGGGGCCCCTCTGACGAGCGAACAGCACACACACACACAGACACACACACACACACACACACACACACACACACACACACACACACACGCACACACCCATACGCATATGGGGGTCGGCGGGGGGAGGACTGGCTTTGGGTATAGATACGGGCTGTCGGAGCCCAGGAGCGGCTCCCGTTCGAGCGGGAACCCCCATCCGACAGCACACACCCATAGCCCCCTCCGTCCCTCCGATGGGTATGGGTGTGTGTTCTTCGGTCGTCACCCTCGGGGAACGCCGACGACGGTCGTCCAACTCGGGTCGGACGAGACGAGACGGACGCTCCGACGAAAGTGGAGAGGACGGTTTTTGGCTGTGCTCGGCCACCTGGCGCCCTCAACGGGCCTCGGGACCGTCAAAAACCGACTCGGGAAAAGAAGCCAGCCCTGGGGAAGTTGTCCAGACCTCCAGAGGTCCAGGAGGCGGAGGAGGAGAAGGAGAAGGAAGAGGAGGAGGAGGAGGAGGAGGAGGAGAGGAGGAGGAGGAGGAGGAGGAGGAGGAGGAGGAGGAGGAGGAGGAGGAGGAGGAGGAGAGGGAGGAGGAGGAGGAGGAGGAGGAGGAGGAGGGGGACGAGGACGAGGAGGAGGAGGAGGAGGAGAGGAGGACGAGGAGGGCGAGGAGGAGGAGGAGGAGGTGTCTGGGAGGGGGGGGGGTCGCGAATCAGCTCACGCTGCTGATTTTCCGGGCGCGCCTCCGAGCCGGAGAGGCACCAATGTATCGAGGAAGGCGGCCGGCGGCGGGACCGAAGCCGGCTGCACGCAGCAGATGTTGTACATAAGCCCCACTTGCCCCATCCACCCCTTTCGTCTGACCCAACCAGCGCGCCAGAGGGGGCGCCACCATGCCAGAACAATCCGAAAAGGAGGAGGAGGAGGAGGAGGACGAGGAGGAGGCGAAGCTAGGAGGAAGATAAAGAGGAGGAGGAGGAGCTAGGAGGAGGACGAGGAGGAGGAGGAGGAGGAGGAGCTAGGAGGAGGACGAGGAGGAGGACGAGGAAGAAGAGGAGGAGGAGGAGGAGGAGCTAGGAAGAGCTAGGAGGAGCTAGGAGGAGGAATGTAAAGAGGAGGAGCTACACTGCACAGAGCAGTGGCTGGCGACGGGGGTCAGCGAAGATAACATCATGGACGTCCGGGGCAGGAGGGAGGGAGGGGGGCAACGTCGACGTCTTCGGTTGGGAGGTGTTCGGGCTCTCCTGGAGGTCGTCGCCGCAAAAAGGGGGAAGAAAAAAGAGGGGGAAGGGGCAGGGGAGAAGGGGGGAGGAGATGCAGGGACCCAAATACCACACTACATTATGATGCATTGCGCGTGCGCGCCCGTGCTTCGTGGCCGCGTCGCCTCTACGCCAGGGCGCTCACAATTGCGAGGGTACACCTCCACGACAATGTGATCGCACATTACCTTCACTTCTCTGCACCCGTTGCGGGCACTTGCTTTTCAGAGGCCCTGTGGCCGCTGCCCCTGTGGCCCCTTTACGCCTGTACGGAAACCAGGGGGCATCCAGGCGCCGACCAGATTGGAGAGATCGTCTCCAGCAATCGAGTGAGTACTTCTATAATATTCCATTTTCGAGGCGCCTGGATGTTTGGGCATCGCACCTCCCCAGACACCCGGCGGCTCGAGAAAATCGAGACGGCCAACTTTTCTCAATCTTCGGCCTCGTGGGGGCCGGTTTCGGGACCCTGGAGCGACGAAAAATCATCTGGGATGAAAAACGGCCACATCCTCCTCCCCATCCTCCCCGAGCCTGGCTCGATCTTTGACCGGGCCGCGGAGGCGCGTTACGACGACGGCGGGTCTTTAGAGGACGAGCTCGACATCAACTGGCCGCCCCAGGAGCTGCAGGAGGTCGACCATTCGGATCTTGCAAAATCGAGCGTGGTGGTGGGCTAGCAGGTCGCGGGCAAGAAGAAGAAGAAGAAGAGCGTCAAGGGCAAGCTGCTGAAGGAGCCACCCCTCCCAGTGGGGGCGCTGGATGTACAGGCCCTGCTCAGCTCTGAGGTCTTCGCGGAGCTCGAGGCGCGCTTCGACATCGAGGACTTCAAGATGTGGCTGAAGGACCAGGTCGTCTCAAAATCAGGCGGCCAGGCATCGGAGGAGGAGAAGGTCTCCAAGGCTTGAGCGCCCAGGGGGGGGGAAGCAAGCGGGGCGAGGTTCCATCTGGGGTCCTCCTGGTTGTCCCTCTTGGGTCCTGGGGCTTGGTTCGTTTTTCGGCGGCCCTCCTGGCCGTCGCGGCCCTGGTGGGCCGCCACCCCGAGTGGAACCTAGGGGTTGCTTCCCCGTGGGTTCGGGGCTCGCGACACGGGCGCATCCGTGGCCTCGCGTCCAGGCGGCGCGTGCGAAGCGGCCGTAGTGCCGAGCAGGTCGTCAGACTTGATTTACTCAGCACCGTCACCTCCTCCTCGTCCTCGTCGTCGTCCTCACCCTTCCTCCCTCCTCCCTCCTCCCTCCTCCCTCTCCCTCATCCCTGCTCCCTCCTCCCTCCTCCCTCCTCCCTCTCTCGACCAAAATCCGCCTGTAGGGGGACATGCCCGACCCAAGGCTATAGCTACCCCGATAGAGGATCGAGGATCGGCGAAGTTTGTTGTGTTTTTGTTGCGCTTTCCCTGGTGTCCTGTGGTCGGGTTCCGCTCGTTAAACCCAAAAAATATTCCAATAATAATCAAAATTGTCCTAGCATTTTCGAACTATCGTCCCCAGACTATGTTTGTACTATTGTTCCCCACATCCAAAGTGGGGGTCTTGTTTTCTCTGGACACCCCGCGCAGGAACAGGAACCCACCATCATCATCATCATCACTCATTCCCCACTCACTCACTCACTCACTCATCATCCCTCACACACTCACTCACTCACTCACTCACTCACTCACTCACTCACTCACTCACTCACTCACTCACTCACTCACTCACTGACTCATCAGCACTCACATATGATGATGATGAGTGTGCGCGTGAGAGAGTGAGATGATCATCATCATCATCATCATCACCATCATCATCATCATCATCATCATCATCATCATCATCATCATCATCATCATCATCATCATCATCACCAGTCAGTCAGCCAGTCACTCACTCACTCACTCACTCACTCGCCTTGGGCCTCGCCTGTGAGTGAATTGCGAGGAAGTCTCAAGCCACATTTGTGAGGCCACATGTGTGAGTGAATTGCGAGGAAGTCTTAAGCGGGAGCCCCCTCCCTATGGGGCCCGCGGATTATGTTACTAATCCGAGCGGGTCATCCAATTCCTATAACTGTCGCCACTTTTGGGCTCTCGCGCTGCCAGAACGCCATTCCCAGGCCACATTTGTGAGTGAATTGCGAGGAAGTCTCAAGCGGGAGACCCCTCCCTATGGGGCCCGCGGATCATGTTACTAATCCGAGCGGGTCATCCAATTCCTGTAACTGTCGCCACTTTTGGGCTCTCGCGCTGCCAGAACGCCATTCCCAGGCCACATTTGTGAGTGAATTGCGAGGAAGTCTTAAGCGGGAGCCCCCTCCCTATGGGGCCCGCGGATTATGTTACTAATCCGAGCGGGTCATCCAATTCTTATAACTGTCGCCACTTTTGGGCTCTCGCGCTGCCAGAACGCCATTCCCAGGCCACATTTTGAATGCCCGGAGCCAACTGTAGGCCACTTCGTGTCCTTCGTGCTCCCAGAACACCACTCCCAGGCCACATTTTGAATGCCCGGAGCCAACTGTAGGCCACTTCGTGTTCTTCGTGCTCCCAGAACACAACTCCCGGGCCTTTTTCTGAATGTCCGGAGCCAAAACACGAGGGCGAGGTCGGGGGCAACGTAGGGAGCGGGGGGAGGGCCCGCGCCAGGGCGAGAAGAAATATACGCAGAAGAGACAGCCAGGACGCCTCACCAACCACGAGGACGACGGTGAGGGCTTTTTTCCAGATTCGCCCAGAGGATTCCAGAGGATTCTCATGCGGGGTCCTTCCGTCGGAGTAATTGAATATTCCTCATGTAGAGGGACACGCCCGACTTAACTATAGCCGACGTGCTACCTAAGAAACGCTGACTATAAAGAACAAAAAGGCTCTCCCGGCCACGGAGAGCGTCGGCCACGAATAGGATTCCCCGACCGGGGCCCAGGGAAGGGCCAGAAAACCACGGCCCGTCCTGAAATCAGAGTGGCCCTCATTTCAGCAGTGCCTTTTGCTCCTCTTGCTCCTCGCCCTCCTCATTTTGCGTTGGCCAGGCCTTACGCTTACGCGTGTGGCATTCTTCCCCCTCCTCCTCCTCCTCCTCCTCCTCCTTCTCCTCCTCCTCCTCCTCCTCCTCCTCCTCCTCCTCCTCCTCTTCGTCCTCGTCCTCGTCCTCGTCCCCCTCCTCCT